GCCGTACCAGCCGCCTGGTAACCGTCCCCCGCGCTCTGTTCTGCGTCGAGACTGTCTGCACTTGCACCTGCCAGAGTATTCATTCTCTGAAGATGAATGGACGAGATAATTATCCGAAACGTCAGATAACAAATTAACCTCTGCCGATGAACGCCCTTTCTCCTTCTGTATATGTTTGATTTAGGAAGTAAAAAAAATGCGCGTGAACTAACCAAGCTGCGGAAACCACGGAGAATAGGATTGTGGGATTGGTCGGCAGACACCTGACCGAGGGCTGCGGCCTTGGTAACCATGTCTACAAGGCGTCCTGGTGTGGCGACCATAATAGTTGCACCCGTCGCCACAAAACGCTGCAGGTCCTCCAGCCGGTTTGTTTTGGCGCCAGCACCACCACCACCCGCCAGAAGAATGGAAGTCCAGAGCGGTTGTCTAAGAGGGCATGAACCTGGTGCGAACCACAAATAGATTACCCATCCTCGTCAGTAAAGTGCTTCAGGAAGGCTTGAAATACCTCGAGAATTTGCCCAGCCAGCTCAAATGTGGGCGAAATAACAAGAGCACCGATCTGTAAGAAATGGTTTAAAGTTAAGAGCGCGAATACCTCGTGTTTTTTCCAGGGCTCCAAGCGACGAGCCAAAAGTTCGACAATGGGAATAACAAAGGCGAGGGTTTTTCCAGACCCTGTAACTGCTTCTACTGCCACGTCCTTTTTGCCTAGAAGGAGGGGGATAACGGTGGACTTTGGAAGGCACTAGTAAGGTCATATAGCAATTTACCTGAACAGGCAATGGTGAGGTAAAACCCTGCTCCTGGAGCGTTGTTGTAACTTCAGGTCTGAGTGGAACTGAAAGACTATCCCATGAGGAGGCCATTGGCTGAAGAGGATACAGTAAAACGGAAAACAATTACTTACGATCTATTGAAAGGCATATTTTATAACCGGCCTTGTATGTCGTGACTGATTTACAGATAAATTTTCCAGTGCACATCCTAAAAACCCGAATTAAGGTAGGTTGCCAAAAACAGTATAAGTATACAAATGTGTGCCGTAATGTGTTTGATCTAGGAAATACTCATCTTGCAATTCTACCACTGCGAACTGCAGCGCGAAAAAGAAACACACTTCCTGATCTGCGTTTGGAATTATATGAAGAAGAACTTAGTGCGTCCTAGAGCTGGCTAACGGCACAAAGAATCAAATCCGGTTTGCAATTTTCAAGCTACGAATTACAAAGTTTTTCAGGAAGGTTACTTGACGTGGACGTCGGCACGCCTATGGTAGAAATGGAGACTTCCAGGGAGTAATCCTCAAGTGCGAAAACCACCAAATTGTTGTTCACGTCAGTGGTAGACGCCTTATATCATGAGATTTTAATGGTGA